CACCTGGTAACGCAATGAAGGCATCAGCATGGTTAAACATTGCATTCATTCGAGCTAACATTGTGGAGACCTGAAGTTCCTCTCCAATTGTTTTTCCAATGATGTCCCCTTGTGCTAAAGCTTCGGGTACGACCCCCAAAACTTGACTACCTCCTAAAAATACAGCTATTGACACACCTCCCATTAACCCAAGATTGCCTCCCCCATATATTAAATGAATCTTTCTCTCAGCTAGCACTTAACCAAGATGATTTGCTGATTCTAAAAACTCCTTTTCTTTCCCAGGACTAGATCCACCGAAAACACAAATATTTCTTATATGATGACTTGAGGAACTTGCCATTTCTACACACTTTTCTATTTGTTGAATGTATGGGTTGAGTAGAAATGAAAGGAAGGAAGAGAGGATTTCATAGATGGGAAATTAGAAAGGCAATCATACCACCTATATATAAGCCAGCTAGAGTCTCACACACACACTCTCTCTCTCTTTATTTATTTATTTACTTTTGAAAAAGCATGTGTATGTACAGGTAGTTATGATTGTGGCTCACATCTTCCCTTGGTTTTACGTCCAAGAACGGCTTAAATGCCCTCTATGGGTCGGGGATAGGCTTCCCATCCAGTTTTCTTAAAAACTGGCAAACAGGGTCTCTTTTAGTCAGATTCCCAAGACTAAGTTGATCATGTTCTTTATGAAATAGTGGCCATAAATTACACGATGCACATCTCCACTAGGATGTGTCTCAAGAGTAAATAGAAGATTATCTAAAGACCCCTTACTAAGGCCATCCTTAATGAATTGTATTTTATCTTCATGGTTTATAGATACCATTCCTAAAAAACGACATTATGTATTACAAGTCCATCTAGCACATCGATGACAGACTTTCAGTCGTTTTGCACGACGTTTCTTTATAAAAGTGCTTTTACCTATTCTAGGCATGTGTGAAATGAAGGAGTTAGAGGACTCACCTGATAATCGGACCTTTGCTTCAATCAACTAGTGAATATCTTCAGGAATTCCATGATTCATTAACAATCTCAATCTTGCACATCTAGCACGATAAATTTGTGTAATCGCATTTTGAGACAGAACGGGAAAATACTTTTTCAATTTTTCAAGATTAGTGTCCATTTTCAAATGAGAATTGGAAGAGAGATTCAAAGAATTACACAAATATATACACAGATATCAGTTATTGTGGGAAACTGAAAGAACCGACTTAAGTCACGGAGTACCGTTGTCCGCCATTTGACCGGGGTGAGAGAAACTAGCAAAAATCACTCAAAAAGAAACACAAAAACAATGTAAGAAAAATAAAATAATCAACCTTTATCTACAAGATCATTCAAACTAGTTGATTCATTTTCACTAGGAAAATTATCAAAGTAAGCTTTCAAACGATGTCCATTTTCCTTAAAAACATTGTCATTCATTGAATTCTCAATATCACAGGCCCTATAATGATTGTTCCATATTGATCTTAGCTCTCTAGGGAATGAATAGAGTTGAGAATTATAAAACAAAACTTTTTGACCAGTGTCAACTTTTTGACAATTTTCACAAATTTTGCAGAATGCATGTGTGTCCTTGAACATGGTGGGCCAATAAAATCCATTTTGAAAGATTTTTGTAGCTGTCTTTTTTGACGAGAAATAACTTCCACGTGCTTCAGAATGACAAAGTTTAATGACACTACTTACCTCATTGTTGGGAATGAATCTTTGAAATATTTGAGCAGGACAATATTTAAATAAGTTCGGGTCATCCCAATAAAAGTTCTTCATTTCGTTCAAAAACTTTTCTTTGTCTTGGGTACTCCAATCAGCTGGCAAATCTCCTAAAGCAAGAAAATTGATATTTTTATCATACCAAGGCATTGGACTAAGAGAAAGTAAGGATTCATTCGGAAAGTAATCATCGATTGGTGTGATGTCAGATGTCGAATTTGTTGTCACTTTTGACAAAAGATCCGCATCAACATTTTCAGTGCATTTTTCTTTTGTGATTTCTTCCTCGGAATAAATCATTTGCAAATCATCAGATTCATCTAACTCATTTTTACTTAAAGTATATTCAAGTTGATCATAAACTAATTCCTCAATATGATCTACTTCTTGTAATTCATTATCATCTCCAGGTTGCTTGCAAATGTTGAAAATATTCATCTCCAATGTCATGTTTTCAAATGATAGCTTCATTAGTCCATTCCTACAATTAATCAATGCGTTAGAAGTTGCAAGAATTGGACGTCCTAAAATAATAGGAAATGAATTACATGATTCAACAGGTTCTGTGTCCAAGACAACAAAATCCACATGATAAATGAATTTATCAACTTGTACTAGCACATCTTCAATTATTCCTCAAGGCACTTTGATAGATCTATCGGCAAGTAAGAGAGTTATACAAGTTGGTTTTAACTCACCTAGATTGAGACTCTAAAAAACTGAATATGGAAGTAAATTCACACTGGCACCGAGATCAAGTAAGGCTTTTTTAATTTTATGCTCTCCAATAAAGCAAGAAATTATAGGACAATCAAGGTCTTTATATTTCAAAGTATTATTATTCTGAAGAATAACATTTACTTGTTTGGCTAGAAAGGCTTTCTTTTTCACATTCAGTTTCCTCTTCACAGTGCATAGATCTTTCAAAAATTTAGCATAGGAAGGAACCTGTTTAATAGCATCCAGCAAAGGTATATTGATCCTTACCTGTTTGAAAATTTCAAAAATTTCAGAGTTGTGATTGACTTTCCTTTGTTTGGTTACGGCCTGAGGAAATGGAAGTGCTGACGGAAAATTAGTGTTTTCTTTGCAATTTTCAGATTCAACCCCTTCCTTACCCTCAAAGATTGACTCATCATCTTTCTCATAAGGTTCAAGAGAGGGTTTTTCAATAACCTTACCACTACGCAGAGTAGTGACTGATTTAACTGGATCCATGTGTTGGCTTCCGGAACTACTTGCATTTGCATTGTATTGCCCCTTGGGATTTTGTTGTGGTTGAGATGGAAACTTACCTTTCTCTTGGAAACTGAGAGCAGATGTTAATTTTGCAAGAGTATCTTTAAAATCTGTCATGTTTTGAGCAAGTTGAGTATTGATTGTCTCTTGCTTTTCAATGAATGCATGCAATGTTTCCTCAAGATTTCTTCTGGGAGGTGGAGCATAAGGAGGTGCATATCCATGAGAATTTTAGAAATTGTGGTGTGCTTGAAATGGTGGTTGTGAAGTTTGTGCATTGTTGTTCTCGCTCTTCCAACTGAAATTTGGGTGATTTCTCCAACCAGGGTTGTATGTTTGGGAGTATGGTGATTAGTACTTAAAAGTGTATTTTTATCAAGGTTTTATATCATCATTTTGCACTTGAAGTATCAATACTCCTTAACTAAAACATGTTTTATAATAATGTATTTAATAATATAAGATACCTATAATTTATGGTAAATGTCTATTTTTAATGCAGGCCTATCACATAAATGAAAGGATTGATTGATGAATTTAAGAATTGAAATTGAAAGGACAAAGAGATGGCTAAACTCCGAAAAGAGATGTCGGTGCAGTTCATACCGGAACACTGTTCGGTAATTGGATCATATCTGGAGTTGTAGATCTCAGATTTAGGTCTACTTTATATGGATGGAAAGGTAAGACATAGGCCTACAATTTTTATATGGAGCCCAAGATCTAGAAAGGCCATTTTCAAGTTCAAATTATAGCAACAACAAAGAAGTCCGAATTTGTCTTCCAGACCAAGCACTGTTCAGTATTTTAGCCATATCTAGAGTTCTAGAAGTTCAAATGAGCTGAAGTTTTTACACAAGACAGCGGAGACAATTTCCTACAACTTTCATGTTTGCAAGTGGTTCTAATTTTGACGTTATCAATGACGTTTTGGGCAGACAAGAGAAGATAAGGATTATCACCAAGTCAAGAGTTGGCCACCCACTCATCAATTAGTCATCAAATCAATAGTTCCCAATTTTGGCCTATAAAAGGAGGCATTTGCCATGCATTTAGGCATCTTGGTTTCCAGATCAAGATCATGCTCTTCCTTTCTCTCTTTGTATTTTTTGTATTGCTTATGCTTTGCTTTCATTAATATCAAGTTTATGTCTTTCATTTCCTTTCATTTTCTTAGTTAACTTTTATCTTATTTATGTTCTTATTTTGTTTATTTATTTTTCTTTCTTTCATTATGTCTAGCTAAGTTTATTATGTCAAGGTGAAAAGGCTACACTAATGGTGTAAGAATAAGTATAGTGTAAACTTAATATGGACTTTAATGTTTGATACTAACATGTTTTGTATTTGTTATCTTGTTCACTCTTTAATACTTAGCTTGTTAAATGACTAATCTTGATTTATGTTGTATAACACTTGGTACAACAAATACTTGGCACTCTCATAGCTCATACTATATGGTATAACCGACACCTGAGCTATGAAAGGAACTTGATTTGTTGTTAACATAAGTTATAATCATGAATGTTTGACGAGATTTACAAGTATTAGCATTAATCGAATAAGATGACTAATGTAATCATGTTAACAATCTATAATCTCATTGGAACCTCCTTTGTGTGTGGTTTCCAATTGAATAAAAAGAGTTTATACTATACTTGTTTGACATACCATTAGTGAAACCTCTAACCTTGACATTTGTTATTATCGTTGTTTAATCGTTATATTAATATTCCTTCTCAAAGTTCTCATCATCTTCTTCTTCTTCTCCTTCTTTTTCTTTATTATTATTATTATTATTATTATTACTACTACTACTACTACTACTACTATTATTATTATTATTATTATTATTATTATTGTTGTTGTTGTTGTTATTGTTGTTGTTATTGTTGTTATATTATTGTTATTTATAATTTGTACAATTAACCTCCCCGTGGTTCGACCCCGGTCTTGCCGGGTTATTTATTACTTCGACACTCCTGCACTTGGGAGAAGACATCAATCTTTTCGTCGTGTCAGTTACATTAAAAATGAGCCCCATTCTTTAGGAAGCATTTGGCAGCCATCCTTGCCGTTTCGGGAATTCTAGGCTTTCTCAGTATTGCACCTTCAGGAACCCATTCTGCGTTCACGATTTCAAATGCATGAACATTCCCATCTCTACAATCTTCTACTTCAATAAAAGGTACAACCATATTTTTATCATGGAAACTGTCTCTTTAGTTTTAACAGTTATCAACATTCCATTCATGACATACTTTAAACACTGTTGCAATGAAGAAGCCACCGCTTCAGCTGCATGAATCCATGGCCTCCCTAATAATATGTTGTAAGATGGGTGGATATCCATAACCTGTAGTGTTATCAAGAACATATGCGGCCCCACATATAGTTCCACCTCTAGGGTCCCAATTATCTGTCTTGGTGAACCATCATATGCTTTGGCCATCAAGGTGCTAGGTTTCATGTGTGACTCATCGACAAGTATCTCTTTCAACATATGCATTAGTATGACATTCAAAGCGGAACCATTATCGATGAGTACCTTTCCAATCAAAATGTCCTTACAATGCACTGTAATGTATAGTGGCTTGTTATGCCCAATACCATCGGGACCCAATTCATCTTCGGTGAAGTATACGTAATTTGAGGCCTGGATTCTTCCCACTAAATGTTCCATGGCTTCTTGATTGAGGTCTTGGGGAACGTATGCTTCGTTCAATACCTTTTGTAGAGCTTGTCTGTGTGGTTCGGAGCTTAGAATTAGAGACAATAGTGATATTTTTGCTGGAGCTTTCTTAAGCTGTTCAACAACACTGTATTCACTATGTTTCATCAACTTTAAGAATTCATTGGTTTCTTCTTCCGTGACAGGATTGTTTATTTCTTCAGCCACATCAACCCCCTCTTTACCCTTAGCTTTTCTTTGTTTTTCCAGCTCTTCTGGAGTGAAAGATCTGCCGCTGCGGGTCAATCCTCCAATTTCTGCTTGAAAAATAGGCGGTGACTGAGTGCTTTCAAAAGAATACCCATAGTCATGAGGCAAAACATTATAATCCCCTTTTTGTGCCACTATTGGTTTGGTTAAAATCAATTTGGGTGGCCTTTCCGTAGTGAATTGTACTCGGCACACCTCTTTATTCGGTGCCTCCATCATGAAAACTTCTTCGTCTATTGCTTTCTCAATTCACAACAACCCACATCTCATCAGTTGCATTACTTTTTTGTGAAAGCCCTCGCACTGGCTGATCACATGGCCTTCTACATTATGATGCATATAGCACTTTTCACTACCTTCTTTGTATTTCGCATCTACCATCATTTGACAGATCCTATCCATTGGCATCTTTAAGCTTTCCGAGTGTTCTACTTCTAACATGTTCACAGACCCGCTACCTGAAGCATGATTGGGTAAAGGGTTCGTAGTCACATTAGGGGCATCTTCAAAGGTTATCCACCCCGCTTTGATTAATTGCAAAAGCTTTCTCTTAAAAGCATTGCAAGTATGGATACTATGTCCAGCTATACCAGCATGGTATTCGCAGGTGAGATCCGGCTTGTACCAGCTGGGGTAAGGTGGTTGTATGGGCGTTAAAGGTACGGGGGCTACTTTTCCGATGCTTAGTAGCTTTCGGTACATTTCATTTAAGGGTAACGGTAATGGAGGTAATTGTTCTTGGGTTCTTTGGTAGTTGTTTTTCAGAAAACTATCGGCTTGGTTTTTTGCTTGGTGGTTTTAGGGTTGAAATTGGTGTTGGCAACTTAGGGTGAAGAGGACTGAGCATTATATTTTTGGAATTGGCTTTTCTTGCTTTTATAACTACTTTCAATATGATCAATCTCTCTCTTTTTTACTCCAAAACCTCTTTTCTCTACGAGTGCAAAGATTCTCCCACTCTTTACTCTTTGCTCTATTCGTTCTGCTATCGCCACGACATCAGTGAATTATTGAGCCAAACTACCCATCACGTGTTCATAGTATGGTGCTTTTAGTGTGTCAGTAAACAGAGCAACCATTTCCTTTTCTAGAAGAGGGGGATGTACCTATGTTGCCAAATCTCTCCATCTCTAGGCATACTCCTTTATGCTTTCTTTATCTCTCTTTTCCAGATTAGACAGGCTGGTTCTGTCAAGAGCAATATCCATGTTGTATTTGTATTGCTTGATGGAAGCATCTACGAGGTCCTTCCATGTATGGATCTTGGCGTTATCTAACCTCATATACCAACTCAACGCTGCCCCACTCAAACTGTCTTGGAAGAAGTGCATTAGTAATTTCTCATCGTGTACTACCTCTGCCATTTTATTGCAATAAGATCTGAGATGGGTAACAGGGCATTGAGTTCCCATATATTTGATAAATTCAAGAACTCGAAACTTCTTGGGTACCACCACATTAGGGACTAGACACATTTCTACAGCTCGTACCGGGTCATATAAATCTACTCCCTCAATGGCCTTGATTCTGGCCTTTAGTGCTACCATCTTATCATGATCATTGTCGTCAGATGGCTTGGTTTTGTGGGATTCATTAGTGAATGCATCTGCGACTATAGGTGTCGGTGCTGGTGTGGTTGACTGCACAAATGCTGGATCGTGTCGAGACTCTTGTGCATATTCTCCCATTATTTCTTCAGGTTGGAGTGATGGGAGAGTAGCAGGCCTAGTTAAGGGGCCTTCTCTAGAGGTATTCCTTAGCACTTGCTCGAGTAAGCTGGTGAAGCGAGCCACACTATCCTTTAGTGCATCTAACTGTTCTTGGAAATGAGCCTCGCGGTAAGCACGCTCTTCGTCTTCCATGTTTCTTGCTCGAAGTCGGGTGTTGTAGACTCTTTGGGGACTTATATTTTGACATGTCATATACATGTGTGCTATAATGAATGAATGTATGAATATGGATGCAAATGTAAAGTGCATGCATAAAGATTGAAGAGCTAATCCATGACCTCCTTTAAATATAGGTAAAATCCAAAGTCTGATGTACTCAAAGAGGTTTTACCCAAGTCCTTCGAATGATTAAATTCCGTACATTGTTAAAGCTTAAAAGTAGGCTTAATACAGATGGTTCATACAAAGTGCCTTTATTCAAATGATGTTCCTCTATTGGCCACATTCTTGATGAAAGAGGAAACTTCATCCAAATACTCCTCATATCTACGGTGACTGTTGGCAATCCTAGCAGCCTTCACTCGTAGCTCATCTGCCTTTCTAGCCACCATGTCAATCAGCTTGTCAGTCTACTTTCTGTCCCTTTGCAGTTCCTCCTTAGTGTTTTGCCATTCCTTAGTGTTTTGCCATTCCTCAAACTACGACTGTTGTCTACCTTAGTGTTTTGCCATTCCTCAAACTATTCTTGCATATTCTTTACTTCTTCCTCTCGGGACTCGAGCTCGGCTTGTAATACAGAAACTCGGTTTCTCATACCATTTATTTTGTCTAGGTATTCCTTCATATCTGATTCAGTTATCCTTCTTGCCTCTCTCTCATCATCAACTTAGACCTGATATTGAGTTCTTAAACTTCTTTCTTCCTCAATGGTGAGATCAGCCAATCTGTTCTTCTTTTTTTCAACTTCCCATCTCAATTTATATCGATCTCTTTCTTCCTTCAGAGAAGCTATTGTCTCTTTATCAACAGATTTTCTATCTTCTAAGGCCCTTTTTAGAGTTGCATATTCTTGCTTTATCATTACCAACTCATTATACCTGACCTTTCCTTCTTCCAGTTGCGTATTTGCTTCGTGCTAGTTCTTTCTTAACCTATCAATTTGCTCATCTTTTTCTTTTAATTGCTGATCTAAAGTGGCCTTCATCTGATCTTCTTTCAAGAGTTGGTTTTCCAGGAATTTCTAATGATTCTTGCTCTTGCCAAGCTCAATCTTCAGCTTATCCAATTCTTCTCGGAGATCTTCTTCGTTGTTGACCCTTTTTCTTTTGAGCTCCCATGTCACGGATGACTCATCTTGGGTTCCCCCTAGCTCTTTTGCCTCTTGAAGTATTTTCAATGGCTTATCACTCCTCCATGTTGAATAATTGGGGCTAACTGAGAACTCTTTTTGAAGTTCTTCTTTATAGACTAAAATAAGCTGCTTCCAATCATTTCTGATGGCACCTAATTCATCCAAAGAGCTAACTTCCTTAAACGGAGCGGTATATTCGGCTAATCCCCAAGTTCTTGGCACGTATTGTACTCCTTCAAACTGTCTGGCCACCAATAAGGGTGAGTAGCTAACATAACCATTCAAGCCAATTAATGGGACCCATGCTTTGTTACCGCAACTCATGAGGTAAGATGAACTACTTACCCAAGGAGCTTTCCATCTGAAATTACTTTGGGGAAGTTCTTGGTATTTCTCTACCCATGCCTTTTCATCCAAATCATTCCACTCTTCAATCAGCACTAGCTCAAGAGGCCTCATGTTAAACCACCAGAAATTATTGAAAACTTCTTTTGACGCTTCCAAATGGCTAACTATCCACATGAATAAAAAAGGAATATAGCATCGCATTGCCCCTTTCCCATACAATCTGCAATGATTTAGAGACAAGAAGGTTTCAGCTAAGATGGCTGAAGTGGGGTTATTCTTTGTCTCTTCGAATTCAAGGAAGGCATTAGCAGCTTCAATGCTAATAATTCCAGCGACTTCTGAAGGAAACAGAACCAAACCAAAGATGGCGAAAGCGATTATCTGATACCTTTCCTCACCCAACCTCCCTTTTTCCTTATCTGTCTTCAACTTATTCTCAACCATTTTCCACTTGAACCCTCTATTGGATGTCCTGTACCGATCAACTTCATCCAAATGTAGAAGTTTGGCGACTGCTGCAGCTGTACTCTCAATTCTTTGCCTGAAGTATACTTTGTAAGGGTCATTCGAAAAACTCAAGATCTGAGCATACTCTTCAAGAGTAGGGGTCATATCAATATCCCCGAAGGTGAAACACCTGTAGCTTAGTCCTTAGGCAATCCCTTTCGTCTAATTGCATCATCTTAGATCTATCCCTATATTCCGAAAAGGTAAGGGAAGTCATGGTCTTACCTCAAAAATCCTGAAAAGTTAAGACAAATTCTAGGTTATTACATGAGGGATATGTTTTCTAACTAGTCTCAAAAGGTCTATGAACTGCCCAGTGACTACCTTTCGTTAAGGCAGTATAGGGGTTTACAAAGGATGGTTGGGGCACTATGTGACTGTCATCACTAAGTAAACACTCAGCTCATAGTTGGATGTTTCATGAATCTGAACCCCAACTGAAAGTTATGGGGCAGACCGCTACTCCCCATCTATCATAGCGTTGGGTCTCCTTGCAAAATTAAAAATACATGAATGCATGTATTTATGTATGAATAGGAATAAAAGTGTTGAAACAGTAAAGTTAAATAAAAAAAACAAATAATCAAATAATCAAATAATCAAACAAACAAAGCTTAGTTCGACCAAACAAGGAGTATGATTAGTACTTAAAAGTGCATTTTTATTATGGTTTTATATCATCATTTTGCACTTGAAGTATCAATAACTCCTTAACTTAAATATGTTTTATAATAATGTATCTAATAATATAAGATACTTATAATTTATGGTAAATGTCTATTTTTAATGCAGGCCTATCACATAAATGAAAGGATTGATTGATGACTTGAAGAACTTAAATTGCAAGGATAAAGAGATGGCCAAACTTAGAAAAGAGATGTCGGTGCAATCCAAACCGGAACACTGTTCGGTAATTGGGTCATATCTAGAGCTATATATGAGCTACAGATCTCAGATTTAGATCCAATTTATATGGATGGAAAGGTAAGACATAGGCCTACAACTTTCATATGGAGCCCAAGATCTAAAAAGGCCATTATCAAGTCCAAATTGTAGCAACAACAAAGAAGCCCGAATCTGTCTTCCAGCTCGAGCACTGTTCGGTATTTTGGCCATATCTGGAGTTCTAGAAGTCCAAATGAGCTGCATTTTTTACACAAGAAAGCTGAGACAATTGCCTACAACTTTCATGTTTGCAACTGGCTCCAATTGTGACGTTATCAATGACGTTTTGGGCAGACAAGAGAAGATAAGGATTGTCACCAAGTCAAAAGTTGGCCACCCACTTATCAATTAGTCATCAAATCAATAGTTCCCAATTTTGGCCTATAAGAGGAGGCATTTGCCATGCATTTAGGCATCTTGGTTTCCAGATCAAGATCATGCTCTTCCTTTCTCTCTTTGGATTTTTTGTAATGTTTATGCTTTGCTTTCATTAATATTAAGTTTATGCCTTTCATTTCCTTTCCTTTACTTAGTTAACTTTTATGTTCTTATTTTGTTTATCTATTTTGCTTTCTTTCATTATGTCTAGCTAAGTTAATTATGTCAAGGTGAAAAGGTTACACTAATGGTGTAAGAATAAGTATAATGTAAACTTAATATGGACTTTAATGTTTGATACTAACATGTTTTATATTTGTTATCTTGTTCACTCTTTAATACTTTGCTTGTTAAATGACTAATCTTGATTTATGTTGTATAACACTTGGTACAACAAATGCTTGGCACTTTCCAAGCCCATAATGTACTTTTTACCTGACACCTGAGCTATGAAAGGAACGTGATTTGTTGTTAACATAAGTTATAGTCATGAATGCTTGACG